CGCTTTCAAATTCCCAATGAGTGAGTGAGTGTTGCCTTTTTGGGCAGGCCGCTTCCTCCGTTTTTGCTTCCCTAGCCGTCCCTGGCTTCCGCGTTGCGTAGCAAAGTACTAGCTTAGAGCGGATATGACACTTCTATAACCGGATGTAGCAGTCGGAATCATCCGTGGGTTCGGATATAGGAAGTACATACACAACGTAGGGTTTTATTTTGCGCCGTCTGACCAAAGACGGAACCTTTCCTCGGATCTTCCTCGTGCTCAGATGGGACGTAACCGCTCTAAAGAGGTAGATGGCCTAGATACACAGCCCGAGAGCACCAGCCAGATCAGGCCGAGGCCCAGACCACACTGCCCAGGCCAGGCTACATGTCCACACCGACCGCCCATCTAGGCCGCCCATGCGGCCCAGGCCACGGAGATACCCATCACGTTATCGGATAAGGCTACCTTACATACCCACGAGCCTCTCCCCGAGATGCTACTCTAGACGGATCACGGAACTGACGGAAAGGAAGGCAACATCCGTCGTAGGCGGTTCCCTAGTTCCTCCGTCAGCTCCTTGGCTCCCTAGTGTTCTAGTTCCCGCATATGCAGATGTCGTGCTTACGGGGGTAAGACATCCATTGGAGAAGTCAAGGTAAGGCAGGCAGGGAAGGCAAGGAGTAAGCGAACAGGTGGTTCGGCTTGTGACCCTATTCGGACCCTTCCCGCCTTTCCAGACCCTGGTTGGACCTGCTCGGGATCTGGTCAGGATGTGGTCGGATAACTAAGGAGAGTAATAGCGAGTTGACGAGCGCGATCTCTCATCTGATCAGATGCTTGGCGACGGGCGGGTAAGGGTTCCCTTGGTGACGTTACTTTTCAGATTTCCCGGATGGAGAATGCCGAGCGGATGATCCGTGGGTGGCAGCCCAATGAACAGGTCATGGTAAGGGATGTGTATGTAGTGTAGTTGGGTAGCTATCTTGGGGTTCCCTTCCGGAGTAAGGTATGGGATGGGATAGGGCATCCGCCGGAGGATCTCACGGGATGTGAGCGGGACGAAGACGGGATGAGGTTGAAGTAAAGTTTGCGACTGGAATGCCCGCCCCGATGTTGTGACCATGTGCTCTGCTCCCACGTTCCGCAACATGAGTTGCGGTTGGTGGAGTGAATAGGTTGTGGGAATGGGCGGGTAAGCGGCTGGGTTGACGTGACCGTCAAGACCGGTTCCATAAGTGGGAAAGAATACCAACAGACCGATGCTTTTCCTATCTTGTGTATCCATCCCTTACCTACCCATCAACCAACATCTGCGCGGGTGTACTACCCACCCAGCCCTGGATTGAGGGAAATAGTCGAGTGTCAAAGTAAAACATGGCAACTTGTAGGTTGGAGGGTACGAACGGACAGACGTACCTCAACCCATCACAGAACCGCATTAACCGCGGTTTCAGCGCTTCAACCCGCTTCTCTCCCCGTTCCCGACGTCATACCAGATGATCAGCCTCATGGCATGACACCCGAACCACCTCTGCTCTGCAATCGCCGCATCATCCGACCGAATCGAGCCAGTCCAGTCGGCCAGTCCGGTTCCGGTCACCGACTTCAGGCAGATGAAAGGTCTGGCTCCAACCCATCTCTTGTTCCCCCCACGTAATTTGGGGCCCAAAGGTCGCCTTACCTGCTTACTGTTACTCAAACCCGGAAGATGAAGAGGGAAGATAATAACTGATGCAAAGCAGACCGGTCGAGCGCGGTTGCCTTGTGATCGTCTTGTCTGGTTTGATGAGCCTTGTCAGTCATGAAGATCATCCATCCGAATTGCCTGTGACCCAGCACTCATCCTTCAGGACACTGTCCTATTATTTGTCTCTCCACTCGGGGTATTGCCCATCCACCCGGTGCTTCGGAGTGACTTACTCCGCACACTGGAAGAGCTGAAGAAAAAGCGCAGGAAAGATCATGCATTTTCCATCAATCCCATCCAATTGTCGCCTCGTCACTTGAAACTATCAACTCAAGCCCACGGCTCTTAAGTCCTCTGGCTGGAGCGCTAGTGCCTTTTGTTCCCAATCCCGTTATCCGACCGAGTGGAATGCTAATGGGTTGGTTGGTTGGGTAAATGACCCGGCGCTGGCCGAGGCCTTGATTCGTGCCGCCGGCGTCTTGGGAGTCAAGATTATGGACACAGTGCTTCATGTCAACAGACATGACTTTCCCTCTTGCGCATGTTAGCCAGCTGCTAGCTGTATGCATGCGAATAGTAACTACTGAGCTTGCATCTCGCAGATGCCCACTGTATGAGATGCAGGTGGTCTCTTTGCTTTTTTCAAGTGAGACTGTGTTGAGCGTCAAAGAGAAGAAGAGGATCAATGCTGAAGAATGGGGAGAAAAATGAGACAAGCATGGAACACTGACAGCGCGTGGTGACGGCAAGGATAGAGTAGAAACTCAATGTAGCCGTAAGTCGTCAACAATGCCCATTGTAGTCGTTTCTGTAGTTCCCCCCTTTCTCCTTTCTACACTGTAGAGGGCAGAATACCACGGCATTTGAATTTGCGGCTTCTCCTTCCTTTTTTCTTCCCGCCCTTCCCTCGAAACCGCCATTTTAATCAATGTAGGGCAGCGTCCAGACCCTGTAGGTAATCGGTCTTTATCCCGTAATGTATTTCGAAGTCACATCCAGACACTGTAGGGGTACTGCACACGAAGCCGGGGAATGAGAGCATGGGAACTCACAAGGTTGACCGGTGAGTTGTGCCGCCAACCGAATGTCGAGTCCTACTTCTGGTCGGCAGGTAGCCGAAACTCGTGCGGGAAGGGAAGCTGCCAAGATAATCCTTCGAAAATGTAGAAAGATGGATGGCGAATGGGGACTGCCAAGGTCGAAATGTGCTGAGTATGCATCCGGGTGAGAAACTTTGGTTCACTTCAGCCCTTGTTTCCACTCCCACATCCAGTGCTAAGCGCCCTGAATTATGTGCTTATCCTCGTTATAGCATGCCGCCATGCTCGAATTTCGATAAGCCTGTCCCGCCCCATCGGTGTGATTATACGGAGCAACAACCGAAACAGGATGTTATGCCATGGTGACGCGCCCAGAACAATTCAACCGCCTGGTAAAAACTCACTGACCATACCAGCCCGTGATCCCCAGCAAGAGCTGCCTGGTAGATGTATAGACGAAAAACCCAACAACGACGCTCATCATGCCAGGCAGCTTGCTTGTTTCAAGAGCCTGGTGGAGTGGGCGTAGCGACTGAACGATGTGTAACAAGCGGCTCTTGGGCAAGGGCAAGGTGTCTTCTGAAGCCCTTGGGCGTGGTGTGTGCGTGAGACATTTAGG